GTGTGTGTGTGTGTGTGTGTGTGTGTGTGTGTGTGTGTGTGTGTTTACAAAACGCAGTAGAGACTGGAGCATGTCTACCACCAAGCTGCAGCTCAGCCCCTTGCTTACTATTTCTAAGAAGAAGATAAGGAATCAAAGAAGACAAAAGAGGCTTTGCTGGGGTTATTTTTGTTTTTTGTTTGTTTGTTTATATGCAAAAGACTGGCTCTTCAACTGTCAGGTTAGGTGTGCCCTTTTGCCATTTTCTCTACTGAATGAGGAAAACAGTCTCTACAAAGCCTTTGCTTTAGCTTTGACCCAGAAAGCAAATAGGAGCGGGAACTCTAGGAACCAGCTCAAAATAAAAGACAACTAAAAAAGTAACATTCGAAAATTGTATCACTCTCTAGGACTACATTGTTTCATATGAGAGCCAGTAACTCCAGGTAGTTATTTAAATTTAAATGCAAATTCACAACTCAGTTTCTCAATTTCACCAGCCACATATCAGATACTCAGTAGCAGACACTAGTACCTGCTGTAGCTCAGATAGGAACTATCATGATGAAGGTTTTGAACGTCAGCTGACCTCTTCGCTTCCTGAACTTGTTTATACACTAGCTCACTCAACTTAACCCACTCCTCTCCCTACTCCCTACCCCACCCCTGGCCACCCAAGGGATGCTTGGAATACTAAGTTCAGAGATAAAGAGCCTTCTCCATCCTTACCTGTGTAAAGTTCCCGGTCTAGAAGAGATGGGAAATGACTACACATAGACAAGACTGGATCCAGGAAGCATTCAGAGCCCATGTCAAGGTGGACTGGGTCTCACCATGGTCCAGGGTCCTGAATACAGGCCAAGCCAGTGTTTGGACGCCCAACCTGGGACTTGCCCTGCCAATCGGCATCCTTGCTTCTAGCTAGGTCCTTGTCAAAAGATACTTGAGAAGTTAGAGAGGCCATCATCTCTCAGGAAACATTTTGCTCAAAGCGGGAAGCCATGTGTGAATGTTTGTCATCTTGTTCCAACCAAAAGTTTTACTATATGGAAATATTACTTGTTTGAGCCAAATCCTGTGACCTCCTGAGAACTGTCATTCTCTAAACACTTTAGTTAGATTTGGGCCTCTGTCAGAAAACAGAACTGTAAAGTTTGTGTTTTCATGTTTTGAGATCTGATGACAAATGTTAATAACTAAAATAAGTTAAAGGTATTTTTGCTAAATGATGCATGTTTTGCTAAATCATACATGTCCTGCTTACTATCAGGACAAAAGTGGTCCTGATTCATCAAGTTGGCTATAATTGTTTCTAAATTATGGATGAGATAATCTTATTCAGTTCATTGGTCTTTTAGTCTGGGCAGGCAACTCAATTGCAATAGCGTTTCTACAGCCCGTGGAAGGGCATTGAGTGACTGCCAGCACTGATGGAGAACAGGAAGCAACTGAAGCATGACCTGTGTCCCTGCCACCCTAGGGAAGATCAGTAGGTCCTCAGAGCCAGACCTAGAGAGAAAACACTGGAAGCCCCACACTGCTCAAGTACCAGAGCTGATGGGAAAGCTATTGAGTGCAAGAGGTTTGGAGGAGCCTTGCTCGGCGTTCACCTGTATTAATTAATAAAGCGTTGACTCTGATCTTGAAGGATAAAATATGCTAATTCTAAAATTTCTAAAATTCGCGTTGTATAAGGTCACAGTGTCCTGTGGACTGCCTGTCTGTTGTTTGAGTGGCTACAATTTTGTACTTTCTATTATAGCTGTTGAAGTCCCTTCCTGTGGGAGTTGGTCAGATATATGGCTGTGATAACCCGTGGACGGGAGGCATCTTCCTGTGTGCCATCCTGCTCTCCTCCCCACTCATGTGCCTGCACGCTGCTATTGGATCCTTGCTGGGTGTCATCGCAGGTGAGCATAAGATTTCAACCCAACACAAGCATCATCCAGGTCTCAGGCAGCTTCTGTACTACACAGCTTTCTGGAGATCTCTGAGCAAGGGGAGCTCTTGGGATGTTTGCCCTAACCCAACAACTCATTGCAGAGTATCCTGCCTGTAGTCCCAAGCTCTGACCACTCTTGTTTTCATATAATAGGACTCAGTCTTGCAGCTCCGTTTAAAGACATCTACTTTGGCCTCTGGGGTTTCAACAGTTCTCTGGCCTGCATTGCGATTGGGGGCATGTTCATGGCGCTCACCTGGCAGACCCACCTCCTGGCTCTTGCTTGTGGTGAGTACCCTACAAATGGCGTTGAAGATGGGGTCCCTAGGAGGACTCTGCCAAAATCAGGGGCAAGCAGGAAATGATTGCATAAAAATTGTAAATGGATCCTATGAGGAATTCAAGCTGCGACTGGAGTTTGGGTTTACTGCTAGCTAACTGTCTGAGCAGGCCAAGTGCTGCTCCTTGGCTGGGAGAATTAAAGTCCTCTTTGCCTGTTTCATTGGTTGTTGTGAAGGAAGAGCCTGGAGTCCAGTAGCCGTTCCATTTGATATATATTTGGGGGCATAGATCCCTGACCTGTACTGTGTATTTTTGTGCTTATTGTTAACTACCCCCCCCAAAAAAAAACCAAAAAGAAATAAGCTAAATATAAAGCTATGCTGCTTGATGAACCAGATAGGATTCCATAACGTCCTTTGAGAGTCACTTTAATTTTCTGTTTTCAAACCTGAACATGCACCGGAATCACCTGGAAAATTGCTGAAAACACAGATCTCTCCCTCAGCCTCTGATACAGAGTTAGAGGTGGAGGGAGAAGCTTGCATCTCTGGCAGGGAGGCATGCAGAACCGATTTGTTAACCCGTCATGAGAACCAGGAGACCCCACCTGCTGAGCTGACCCTCGCACCCGCAGATCCAGCCTTCTTGTTGAACTTGGGTTAGGGACGTGCTGAAACACCTAAAGTCCAAGAAGATTAAATCTAGACCTAGAAGCTATATCTGCCACTGTGCCCCACCCTGGGCTGCTTTCTGCCTGTAGCTTTCCAGCCCTAGGTTGGCTCCTTAAAGTAAGGTCAGCCACAAGGGCTTTGGACTTGAAAGCTGGTGGGTTCCCCAAGCTGATGGTGAGGGACAGACATTCACCCACAGCCTCTGTCATCCCTAGTTTAATGGACGTAAACACATTAAAGATCGTTCTAGAAGGACTGGCAGACACCCTTGGGGACAAAAAGGTAAGGGAACACTGGACTGTAGAGAACTTATTTTTAACCTCATGTAATATATGTCTAAAGCCATTTTATCACCAGGTGGTTCAACATCAGCTATCTAACAAGTTGTCAACTGGTAGACCATGCAGTAGGCAGGATCTGGAGTAGGGGAGGTGAGCCAAATCTAAGGGTTTGTAGGTACTGTTCTGTTTGGGGGTTTATGCCATGGTGAGGCTAACAGATCTCAAGCTGCTGTGTGCTACTGAAGTGTCATTTTTGTCTTTTTGTTTGAAGTGACTCAGCTGAGCTCTGTCAATATTTATTACTCTACTTTGTGTATTCCCAAGTTCAGGGCAAAGCAGGCAGATGGGGTAGATTCTGAAGCGTAATTGGGATCAGGTCTCTCATCCTCCCAGGTCCCGGCTTTATCCTAAGATTGCTTTCACACTTTTATTAGGAACGCATACTTCATGTTCCTATGTATGCAGTAGCAACAAATTCATGGAGTGAATTTAGATTTTCATGATGTACCCTGTATATCCTAGGAAGACAAAGGGTGAGAGGCTTTGGTTCCCTATGACTCCTGAGCAGAGAGCACAGGAGTAGAAAGTAGGAGCTGGGTGATTTAGGAGGGATCCTGAGGGAGGCTCTCAAGGTTTGTACTAGAACAAGAAAAAAAAAATCCATAGTACAGGATCTGTTGGTGGGTATAGTTAGGATTATCAGGATGGGCTGCCCAGAGAAGGTGGCTATTCTGTGAGCCCTAGCACAGGAGAGGAGTCCATTTGGTAAAAGAGATGGTACCAGTTGGTGTGGGGCCTGCATTAAGCAGAAAGCATTTTGATCATATGAAAAGTAGATTTGGTCTGGCAGGTTATTGAAAAGGATGACGCCTAAGACCTTTGCAAGCGTTTCCCCCAAAGGTGGATGTTTTCATTACTATTTTATTGTAGTAATAGGACAGTTTCATTGTTCAGTCTGAACAAAGTACAAAGAGGTGTAAGGTAGAGAGCAAAAGACTGTCTTCCTGCCTCAGGCAGCTTTGTAACCTCCTTCCATGTGTGTGATGACATGGACCTACTCACATTATCCTTGACAATCTTTCTGTTTAAGACTTTAACCTAACTGCGATTGCAAGATTTTCATAATCACAGATTCTGGGGATGTGTTCCAATAGGGAACCATTTTCTACCTGTCATGCTTACTTTGCCTTGGCTACAACTTCGGAAGGTGAGGCAGCAGGGCCATAAGTTCTACTACACAATAAGGCCTTGACTCGAGAAAGACAAACAAACAGCAAAACCCAATCGTGACTTTGTTGCCAGATTACCTGGAACTTAATTCCAACAGAGTTCTTAACCTTTCTGGGTCTAGATTTCCCCATTTAAAAAGAGGTGTTTCAGTGCCCCATAGAATTTGTCTAGGATTAAACAGTGTGCACATGAAACTTGGCTGCTATCCAGCACGTGTTCATAGCGTTTAAGGGTACGGAAAACATTTTTTTTCCTGGTGGCTTTGTATAACTTATTAAGAATTATTTACTATTCCCTCTCAGTGTCTTTATCCAATGCCTTTATCTTCTCTCCAAGTATAAACAATAGATACCTCAGCCTGTGTCGGCCTCCAGTGGGAGGCCCACACCCAGCAACCATTGGAACCAATTTGCTACTATATAGGATTTTCACTTCAGATCTGCGTAAACAGGCACGTTCATACTTCCTTGTGAAGGAACTGCCGCCTTTGGTGACACATGTGTTCACCCTGCCCTGCAGCTCACACTGCCCCGTCATAGCGCTTCCTCTTCAGAGACAGTTTTGCTGGGGGGCCCCTAAGACCCTGCATGCCTGAGGACAGCTTCAGCTCATGTCTCCCTGGTTTATGTGTTCGCGCCACTGTCTGAAAACAAAGCTAGATTTAAGGATTTTTTTTCCCCTCTCCCAAACCATCATTAAGTCTTCTAAAAAGAACCCAATTCTTATTAAAGGGTAATTTTGCTTTTCTCTCTGGACATTTAGAATTTTATCTTTGCATATGAGTTATTTTTCTGTTGCCTGTCTAGACGGGAGGGTTCCCCATTAAATCCTTTCGGTGTGAGCACTCCTGTCTTTCTTTAATTCGGAGATTTTGTTTGTTTTTAATTTGTCAAATATTCTCTCCAAATATTCCTTTCCTTGTGGGTTAGTTCTATGTAAGCTTTTCCATGGCTGTGGACTTTTCCTTATTACTTTCTCCTCTTCATCCCTTCGCAAGCTTCATCTGCAGTGTTTGCTCCAACTGCGTCTATCTTCCCTGGCATTTGCTCTCCTTGGATGTCCCCTCTCTTTGCCCTGAGAGCTTGTTTTCCATGGTATTCCAGCTGTTTAAGCTGCAGTTCTCAGTGGGGGTTGGAGACCACGGCTCCGCCTCTCAGGATGCAGGCCTCTGCTGGTTGAGGTAATAGGGAAGCTTTAGATATGACAAGCTTGCCATGCCGAGAGGTAGTTACAGGGCTTCTAGTTTGGAGCCCTTAAAAACCCTGCTCCGTTGAACACTTTTGGTATAACTATCCAAATGTGCATTATACTAATATTTCTAAAAACAAAATTGGTGATTTGAAGGGAATGGCAGTTCTAATGTCCACAGATGTTGAGCTCCTCCCCAGGGAGACTTAACAGGTCCTCTGAGGCTGACACTATGAGAGAGTCAGGTCCATCCCCACTGTATCCCAGCAGACTTTTTTAATACCCACACATGAACTCTTGAGACAGACCTCCAGCCCCTCTTGCAATGCAAGCCTTTCACGTAAAATGCCATAGCAAGTTTCAGCTTGCCCATGTTGCCCTGCCACTGACAAACAAAAGCCCGAGCTTGTCTACCAAGGCAAATAAATAGCAGAGACCGACTACAGAACTGTTCTTTTCTTCAGTCCATATGTCTCTACCTGGAAGAGGACCTGGGAACCTGTGATGGCATCTGACAGGGCTGCCTGCCTTACCTGTAGATCAGGAGCTGCCCAGCCAAGGACTAGCCTTGTCTCTTTCCTACAGAAGTTAGAAACCTGTTTGGTGCCATTTACCAATATTTCATTACTATGGCAGGACTCTCCCATGACAGTACCCTGACACGGAATTATCCATGAAACCCAGGGTCTCGTTGAGGTGTAAGGGCCTTTTCTAATGCAGTCAGGGAATCGCCCCCGTGCAGATGTGCAGAATGCGAAAGCTTCAGTGGTATGAGCCAGTCCCAGCCCTGCACTGCAAGTCTTAACGGATGGGCAGCCTGCCATGTATTAGTCTGACTCTCACTGTAAAGAACAGAGCAACTTGCACTTAGAGATTATCCCAAAGCATATAACAGAAAAAAACTTACAAGTGCCGGAAGCACGCCTTAGAAATATGTTGGGCCTTTGAAGGAGATAAGAGACAATAATGTCTGGTGTGCTCAGAAGAAATAAAGAGACAGCACTCAATAGAACAGGCTAGAATGCTTCGCAGAATACCAGGGAATAGATGCTGGATGAGAGAGTTAGATCTTGAGAATGAATGAAATTGATGAAAGCAAAGAAGAAAATTCCTCCCACCCAAGCCATGAGCACCCTTCTTCTCAGAGTAGTATTCTGGCACCCTGCCAAGAAGGAAGGGTTCACAGCTGCCCCAGGGTGGATGTAAAATTTCACTTGAGATTTCATTGTCTACCTCCCTAAAGCAGACCTTCAAGTTCTGAATAACCAAAAAGGGGGGAGGGGGAGGACCCTGAGTTCGTTCATTATACGGTGAATAAAGGAAGAGCTGGAATTGAAAGCAGAACTGTTTCTGCAGACTAACCCTCATTAGCAGGAGAAACTAAGCTGAGAGAGAGCTCACTGCACTGTTTAAGGACCATGGTGCCAAGCACAAAATACGGATGAAATGACAGTCTTTAGTCAATGAGGATGAGAGAGCCCTCTCATCATTTCTGCCATACCTTTAAGACAGCACGTGTGATGGTAGATGATTGACTGTCTAACTCTGTGGACATTAGAGGAAAGTCACTGACCCTGGAAAACCTGAGGATATTCCCCACCCTCTGCCTCCTCCTCAGCTAGGACAGAGAAATTGATGATGTGATTAGCTGGTTGAGCCCTTTGTTCCTGTTGCTTTACATGTAGAAGACATCCGCATGGTCAAAATGTGCCATTTGCTGTGTTGTTTTTTTTTCTCCAAGTAAATAGAAATATCAGATGTTTATTAATTATGATTATTAATTTAAAATACCATTAAAAAGACATGCCCAATTTAGTATATGAAAGGCATTATTCAAGAAGGTCCCAGGGCTGTGTTCTGCTTCTGCCATGCTCCAAACAACGTGTCCCCTTCTTATTTTTACATTCTACAGTTTTTGTAGGTATGAATTCAAACCATTAATGTGAAGATTGTAGACGCAGTGAGATGGTAGAGAACTCACGCTGTCTCATCTAAATTCAGTCACGTGTTTAGAGAACAGCATGGCAGTGCATTTGCTGTGGAAAGCCTTTCCCTAAAGTATTACTACAACAATGGCAGGGGTATCACACCACAAGACTGAACACTTACTGTGTGCTGAATATATGTTACTTCCTGGTCCTGTTACTTCTGTTGTTCAAACGAGGAGACAGAGTATAGGGGTGAGGCCAGTGAGCTCTGTAAGAGTGGGCCATGATCTGAACTCGAAGCTTCTGAGTCTAAATTCACATGTATACCTAGGGAACTGAGTGGCAAGTAGAACCCAGAAGTATGCATACCATCTAGGATGCTGATGAAAAGTACATCTAACAAATAGTGCTCTTTCCTCTTTCCGTAGCCCTGTTCACTGCCTACTTCGGAGCCTGTATGACACACATCATGGCTGTGGTGAGTCTTCTTTGGTTGTATTTCGTTCTCAGCCTGACTTGTCAGTGAAAGTCCAGGGATGCCCACCTGAGCAGCACCTGGTAACAGGGTCTCTATGACCATGATCTCCATCGCTCTGCCATGTACTGGCTCTCAGCTGCTCCCACCTGCTAACATCACAGCAAACTCTAGTCCAAACTGCAATCACCAGGCTTGTTACAAATGTCAGATTGCTCAGTTTCGGTTTAAAGAATAACTTTAACAATAGCTTTATCAATAACTAGATAACATATTATCATATTCGTGGTCCAACTGTGGTGTCAAGACATTAACTTTGGAATATAGTTTACTTATTAAGAAAATTACACCCATGAAGTAGTTGAGAAATCAGAAAAGAGTAGACAAGGATAACTGACTAAAGAAGCAGGTATTATTTAAAATCCTGCCAATTTTTTTATATCACTAGTCTTCAATGCATTCTTACCCACTCATCAATGAAGCTTTTCAGACCTAGGTTCTACTTGTGTTATTTTTAGGAAAATCTTTGCTCGTTAGCTCTACCCCACCATGCTTTCTCTTCAGTCCAGGCTGGCCTTAAACCCACTGTGGCACTGTCTGCCACCCTGTGACCTACCCTCGCCCCACCTCCCAGAAGCCAAATATACCCTACCTAGACTGGGTCCCTTTACTTCCTAATGCCTGAATCTTGATCTCCTCCTCTCCTGTCAGGTAGTGTGGAACTCAGACAATGTTGAGGTGTTCGTGGTTGCTTTGTGGGTCCCAGTAGTGTCTGACTCTCCCAGCAGTTCACAGAGGTTTTATCTGAGAAGGTCTCTATGGAGATGCAGCATCTTTGTGGTGGGAACTCAAGATTCTATTGTAGGTCCGAAAAATGAAGGTCAAAGTCCATGACCATGATCACCCCTGCTCCTCCGTATGCTGGATCTCAGCTACTCTCACCCTCTGACAAAGCAAACTCTAGTCCAAACTGTGGTCACCAGACTTGTTATGAGAACATTACGGAGTCCTTCACACCCCAACAAAGAAATTCAAATGTATCATCAGTCTGTGAACTGACTGATTCTACCACTGAGTTAGCTAGGGAGACTGGGAAACTTCAGGTCCGGAGGCCCCATCTCTTGATTTGAAGATAAAGAAGCTCTTGTAGGAAGATTGGGCATTTTAGCTCTTCAGATTGCCCCAGGTGATTCTGATGCTCAGTCAGGTTTTGGTACCCTTCTCCCATCACACTCTTGAGACCCATACAAAAGGCTAAAGCTAACTAACGCAGAACTATGTGAGTTGCCATGGCAGCACTGAAGCATGTCACCTATCCTCTATTAGAGGAGAAAATAGAAAGAAATAAAACAAGTAGAGTTCAATACTGGGGAGAAGCCAGGCTCAGAAAGGTCACTCTGACTGGCCAATCAGAGAAGCCCTTTGTGCGTGTGATCAGGGGATCGTAGCAGTTTGCTGTCACCCTGTGTGTCCAGTGTCATCCTGGCATGTCATATATAGGAAGTCTAAATACATGCGAAAACTGGACAGACATACAAAGGAGACAAAACTGACCACTGTAAAAGACAAGTGAAAATGGCAGATCGTAGACATGATTCTGTGGGCCCAAGCAGAACCCAGAGCAATGCCCTCACCAACTCATCCCCTGGGGTAAAAGTTCAGGTGGCCACTCCCTTTCAGGTGGAACCTCAAAAGAATGTGCGGCTTGCCTCTTCTTCCCAGGTCCAACTGCCAGCTTGTACTTGGTCTTTCTGTTTGGCCACGCTACTGTTTCTCTTGCTGACCACGAAAAACCCCAGTATCTACAGGATGCCCCTCAGCAAAGTCACCTACGCTGAAGAGAACCGCATCTTCTACCTACAAAACAAGAAAAGGATGGCCGAAAGCCCCCTCTAAGAGCAGCCTCACCGCACAGTCGTGGTCATGGGTCGTTTCTATGTGCAGCTCCAGTTGGCTTCCGGGTTCTCACCAACTGCTTTTCTTCAAAGGGAACAACTTTAATGCTATCAGTGACACATTTTTTTGCATGCTTTGTGGTTTTTGTTTGTTTGTTTGTTTGTTTTGACTGTGTACTGTCAAGCATATGAGAGCCATGGCCAGGCAATGATCTCTAGAATGGAATTTAAATTCCGCTGTGTGTTGGGGAGGAGCACTAAGATTGTAATATATTTATAAAGTCAAAATGTTCCAAGAGAAAGAAGAAACGGAAGCAGAATAATTGCTGTTATTTAAAGCTACCTTTGATGTCAGTATTAAAAATTAAGCTTTGTAAACCAGGTAAGCCTTACAGAATTCACAGGCACCAAAACAGAGGAGCCCAGAGTTCTAGGATAAAGAGTTTGCTTTCAGAATCAGCAAGTTATCATAGCAACTGTGGCCAACATTGCAGTTGGGGCAGGCTGACCTCAGGGCAGGTCCCCAGCTTACCAGTAGAGTGGTGGCATTCTCTTAATGAGGATGGTTAGGTCTTTTCCAAGCGACAGAGCTGTGGGAAGGACTTCGCTGGTCAAAATAGTTTTGTATTGCCACTCAAGAAATTTGCAAAATTCAGGTAGAGTTTATTTATTCTTATAAAAAAAGTATTTTTTCACTGGTATAAGTTTGCAGGTAGCCAGTTCCTAGACATTAAATTTAAATGTATATGTGTAAAACACTTAGCATAGTTGCTTTTGCTTTAATTATTGTATTATTTTTTACTTTTTAGTTTTGTGGGAGTACTTGACATAGGGCCTTGCAATGTAGCCCAGGCTAGCCTAGAGCTCAGCATCTGTATTTCCACTTCCTAAGTACTGGGACTATATATTGGGTTTTTAAGTGCTTCAAATATATGGCAACTTTATTAACCTCAAGAGCCTTTTAAATCCACAATTGTAATGAATTGAGGATATCTTCTAAACTCTGGCAGTCAAATCACATTCACAGTCTTCAAGAGTTTTAAATTTCTTTAAAAAAAAAAAAAGACATTATTTTCTGCACACAATATTCTGTCTAGGAAACTAGGAATTGGGAACTGAAAGAAATACCGTAGGGAATACCCCAGGTTTTGTTTTTTGTTTTGTTTTGTTTTGTTGGGTTTCTTCGTTTTGTTTTGTTATTTAAAAGTTGTGGTTTCTCTAAAAATTTGATGCCCAAAAATGCTGAAGAGGGCAGCAGAAGGCTGTGCTCACTGCCTGCCACCCGTCCAGTGAAATTTAATTATTTGGAGGTTGGAAAGTGAACATTTTAAATCTTAATTTTTTTTTTTCCTGTTGAGTATGTTGTTCACTTGGGAGACTGAGGCAGGAGGACAGCTTTAAGAGCAGCCTGGGCTACACTCAATGGCCCTATCTCAGAACAAAAGAACAAACAAAAGAAACGATTTCCCCTCTGTTGATAGTCAGTGTTAACCAGGAGCTCCAGGGCTGGGGAGGCAGAGGCAGGAGGATCTCTGAGTTTGAGGCCAGACTCGTCTACAGAGTGAGTTCCAGGACAGCCAGGACCACATAGAGAAACCCTGTCTGGAAAACCAAAAGCAGAAGATAGTCAGTGCTGAGAAGACAATACCAGCTTGCTAAAGTCGGGCAAGAGGGAAGTCTATGCAAACACCTTAGGCAGCCAGCCACGCTCCCTCTTCTCAGGAAAACAAAATGAGAATTATGACCATTTTAAATCTTGTGACTGAAGCTCTTCGAAGCCATGGATTTGTAACTACCATGGATTCCTGAGTTGTCCTATAAAAACTCTGAATTTTCAGTGTTTGCACTTAAATTTTTCTGTTTGGAATTTGTGAAATAAGTACTGGGGGCAGCAAGAAGTGTGCAAAGACCGCCCCCTCCCCAGAGGTGAAGAAGCTGGACCCTAGCAGAGCAGACCCTAGCAGAGCATCTACAGGGTAGCTCAGCCCACTCCAGTAGCAGCGCTGAGCTCACCTAAGGCAGCCTCGTCTCTGATCTGCAAATGGGAACAAGCTAAAACCTTCTGTATCATCTTACTTATATAATATCAATGTCTTCAAGGTATTTTTGTTACTAAGTATTATCCTCAAGTTAAGTGAAAACTCTTGGGGTTCATTTGTACAGTTTTGTTTTGTTTTGTTGCTATTTTCTGTGTAACAGGTTCCTGTGTAAACATATGAATAAATTATATTAACATCTCAGTTCAGTCTCATGTGTCTTTACAGTTATTAATGTGATTGTATATAAACACTCACATACATAAGTATGTATCACGTATATTTCCGAGTTAGAACTATACCTGGCTTGACAAGAAAAAGGAAATATTCTAAAGCCAGAGACATGTGTGCCTCCCCCCACCCCTTTGACTAGCAATCTATGGGCTCCAAAGGATTAAAATTTTCCTTTCCCTGTATCATGCTGGGGAAGGGAAAGGGTGAGCCTGGTGCCAGTCAGAGGAGGAGATGGCTTCCCCGGAAGAAACTTCAGTAATCACATCGCATTAGGCCACGTTGCAGGACAGACTGATGCCCAGACAATGACACATAGAACCATACCTGGCCAGGAGTGCTTGGTTCTGTGTATTTCTTACCTTCTGTTTACACCTCAACCTCATGTCAGCGTCCCTCAGATGGACTTGGAGGCCATTGGACCTCTTTCTTCCTCTTCCCTGTGTGGTCACTTTAAACAGGTCTCCTTGCATTGCCTTCCACTCTTACTCTCCATTCTCTGGTTGGCATCCTGGGGAGATCGGGCATGCTTATCTTACCGAGACTTCCAGAGAATGGGCCTTGACCCTAAGACCTCAGGTAACAGAATCAGGTGGGGAGCTGATCAAACTCTCAATTACAGATTGACAAGTCCATCCCATCTTCTCAACCATCCATTGTTCTCCCAACTCCGGTACGAGACGGATGTACTGAGGGTAGTTTCACATGTTTGGGACAAGCTCCTAACTAAGCCTGTGAGGTCAATGTCCTGGGAGCCATAAGTCCAGAGTAGTGTCCCCATCAGGGCCAGCCCTAGAGTCAGTGCTCTGAGAAAGCTGCTTCTCAGAATGGATGCCACGGGGAGATGTTCTTCCACTCAGGCTTGCCTCTGTTCCTGACAGTCCTTCTCTCCCTCCTCCTTTTGCTTTGGTTATCACATCTGAAAAACATGATGACAATGAAAATTTGCCTCCACAAGTCTCAGTGATGGCTTTGAAACAATTCCAAACAGAATGTTAAAGGCTCCCCCACCAAAATGCCTTCTGTTTGCAACAAAATTTCTATTGTATCAAAACATTTTTCTGATGTGATATTGTCAGACAATGTCCCTTGCATCTGAGAGAGAAAAGATGAGATGTTTTGAGGCCCCAGATACTGTAAACCTTTAGAAGCTATGGGTACCAATTTGCATGTTACCCACTTAAATGCCTTCTCCAAACTGTATTAGGAAATTAATCCCCAACACAGTAGGGTTGTGAGGTGAAGCCTTTAAGAGATTAGTCATGCGGATTCTACCTTCACAGATGAATTAATGTCCTGGAGTAACTGAGTTTCCACATGAGTGGATTCTTAACAAAAGGATGAGATTCATAACCCTGCCCTTCCCAAAATGCTTTAAGTTATGCGTATTTAGAATCTTTTGCCTGATCCTGGCTTCAAGGGTTCAGGAAAGCCTATGTATGGTATTGTCAGTTTTCAATGCAATGAGTGAGCTCTATCATACTGAGAAAAATAGACAAAAGCTATTTGACAGACAGACAATGTGTCTGGCAAATGGCATAACGAAACTCCATATGTCATATGGCACCTATGTGTCCATGCTGGCCGTGGTCATGCAGTGTCACATGGTACCTATGTGCCCATGCTGCATGTAGGGATGTGGTGCCAGACAAGACAGTCTGTTTCAGAGCATACAGAGGAATTTGAGAAAGAGGCCTACAGCAAACCTATTTACAAATAGATTAATTATGGAATACTTGCTGGAATGTTTCCCAGAGTACGCTGGGATGCCCCAGCCTCACAAAAAGATTCTGTACCTTCTTACTAACAAATTAGAAGCAAAGGATGTGACTTGGTAATGACCAGATAAGGAAAGTATAGGGCCAACTCATACTCTAAGTAGTTATCTTTAAGAAATAACATTCATTTATTTATGCGCAAGAGAGAGAGGGAGGGAGGGAGAGAGAGAACCACAGTGCATGTGAGGATCAGAGGACAACTTGTGGGTAATGTCTTCTCCTTCCACTATGTGGGCTCCACTCAGATCCTCAGGGTCGGCAGTAAGCATGTTTGCCCACTGAGGCACCTCAAAGGCCCTCATCTTGATCTAATAGTTGAAGAATCTAAATCATTCCACATCAAGAAACCTTTGGAAATTGTTGCATTTCGTTTCATTTGCAGCTCAACCAAGCACTGAAAACAAGTGTCCAACATTTTCTGGTTCGTGGTCTCAAATAAACAATGAGAAATCCCATTTCCTGTTTGGGTTGGGTCCATTGGATTCCAGCCCAACAAAGCTTTGAATTTCATTGCAGTGACATGCAAGGACTTGGAAGGGAAGAAATGAGGCACAGAGGAAAGTTGGAACAGTTCCAGGAAACCTGGCTAAAATTAAGCCTCAGAGGAAATAATGGCAGCTAGGTCATGAGTCAGTGTCCCAGAGGCCAAGGCATCTTGAAGCAATCAGAGCACACAGTGTACAGGACTGGCCAGGCCAACAAAGGGGCCTTTCTCCTTCTGAGCCCCTCTCCCCATGTTGGGCTCTCAGTGACAGTTTGCCCCATCTGATGGATTACAGTAGCAATGGGCAATGTGAATAACCTGGAATAGAAATTGGTCCCAGTTGAAATTTACTTCAAATGTAAAGAACATGCTGGATTTCAAACACTTAATGGAAAAAAAGGGTTAAAATATCAGCAAATTTGAATGATTAAATGTTAAGGTAGAAACACTTTAGGTTCACAGAAATAAAATAATTTAAGTGAGCATCATTTGAATATTTTGGACTGGCAGCATATTTTTTATTAAAGTTGAATTATATCACTTTCCTCCATTCCTTTTCCTTCCTCCATCTGCTCTCCTATCCCATTAATTCCCAAATTCCTGACCCCCCCATCCTTAATTGTTTTTTATATATAATATATACATGTAAATGTATAAATACAACCTACTGAGTCCATTCTGTGTAGCATGTATGTGATTTCAAGGCTGACCTCTCAATATTAGATAACCAGTTGGGGGCTTTTCCATGAGGGAAGACTGTTTCTCCCACTCTCAGCTTATCTTAGTTAACTGCAGCTCTTTATCTAGATTTCCTCCTTTTGCATGCTTCTGGTGTTGTCCATGTTAAGGTCTTCTTTAGGCAGCCATATTATTGTATCCTAGGTGAAGCTTCCCTGTCACTTCTAGGAGACACAATCTCACAACAGATTTTCTGGTCTTCTGGTTCTCACAATCTTTCCACTCCCCCTTTCCTCGGTGTTCCCTGAGCTTTAGGTGCACGAGTTGTATTGCAGTTGTATTTGATAGGGCTGGATACCACATGATCAGTTGTTCTCTGCATTTTAACCAATTGTGTTTTTCTTTGTTTTTGATTGTTTCAAAGAGAAGCTTCTTTAAAGAAGGTTGGCAGATACACTTATCTGTAGGTATAAAGATAAAGACTTAGAATGCAGCTAGGAATTATGCTGCCTTAGTGAAGTGCTGGCAGTAGATCCGTGACATCACCAGTCCCGGGTAGCTGGTTATGTTTTCAGTACTGGACGTGATTCCTCTCCTGCTGAGAGAACCCTAGATCCACTCAGACGGCTGTTGTCTACTGCCAAGATAGGAGCGCCGCTGTTACACCTTTAGGGAGCTCTCGCCATGCTAGCTGTCGCTGTGGTTCATAGACTCACAGCTGCGAAGAGCTCTGTGTCCCTTCCCTCTCTGGTTCCCTCTCTAGTCCACAGGGAGAAAGCTCTCACATCCAGCTTGGCTCCTCTGAGTCCTGCTCCTAAAGTATGTGGTGTCTGCAGCAATAGGGCAGCAGCAATTGTTTTAGGAGTCGCTTGGACCCTCCTGACCAACAACTTACTCAGTTGAGGGCTCTTTCCCTTTCCTACCCATGATGTTCCCTTGGGGTTGCCAGCCTCAACTCTCTACAAGCAGAGAGTGGAGTCAGATAACACAGACCTTGTCAATCAGAGCCCTCTCATCCCCGGCCACATGGTAGGTCAGAGGGACGACTGCCTGACTCAAACCAAGTCTGTCATATGCTATCCTAAGAGAAATTGGAATTGAAGTAGACACCACTGACTAGAAGGAGACCAAAGTTGTGTCTAACTGTGATCTGGAAGTAGGTTGTAAGGTCTTCATGGTTTGACTACTACTTGAAGTCTCCAAATGAAGTCAGTGAGGGTATGAGGCCTGAGAAAGCCTAGGCTGAGGAAACAGGAGTTTGAGGCTGTTGATTATAAAAGTGACCTCCGAGGCCTAGCGGCCATGCTGGGGTAGAATGAGCCTGGCATTCCTTGGAGCTGGATAAGCTGAAGGTTCCAGAAATCAAGGACACCACACTGGCTGATCACTCAATCATGCTAAGGGCAGTGAGCTGACAAATGCATTTGCCCAAGTTCTCTGCACTCCTTGACAGGTGTGTTTTCCTCGGCCACCTCCTGTATACTTTGCTCTTTCAGAGATGAGAGTTTCTATTGTTCTTCCTTCCCCCGAACTGTGGTCACACATTGGCTGCATTGCGGTGACATGTCTATCCCTTTGTAAGGCCATGGGAAACACATCCAGACCCAACAGAGAAAGGGAAGACGCATTCAGAAGACTCTTCCAAGTGGGGAGAGGTGTGAGCAATGCGGTAATGTTATTGCCATAAACAGGAACACTTTGAGATTGTGGTGATTGGAAAGAAGGAGCTATTACTTTTGGCCAGTCTGTGGTCATGCCAACCTTGACCCTTTCAGTCATATGCTTGGAACCCTTGACTACAGAGAGGAGCTCATGAGGCAGGATGGAGCAATCATTACACTGAGAGGTCTGATAGCCTCAAAGCCCCTGAGAGACCCCCAGAAGAGCCCCTCAGGTTGTTTGGCTAACCTGACTCCATAACAGGCGTCATTTTTAACTTTGCTTGACTAGACCTGAGTTTCTGCTTCTCAGAATATAGAAAATAATTCCTGGAAAAACTGCAGTTTTTAGGCAGTGAATTAGCT